CTCCAGGGCAGAGTCCCACATTTGTGTCTAAAGAGAACGGTGGATCCAAATCTGCACCACGTAATAACTGCAGGAGCATTTTACAGCATTTCACCAGCTCATCGACTTCACCCACACGGTAGTTCGATGTTCAAGTGCTATAAAGCGCAACTTGCTTGCAAAATTGAGTCTGAAGGTTTTTTCCAGGTGCAAAATTAGATGCTATTTGTGAAATGAAGCTCTCCCAAGACATCGGTGGAGTTTATAGTTGGCAATTTGTCCAGTAACAGACTATTAATTCTACCCAGAGCTTCGCTGGATCGTGTTACTAAGGCTTAGCTAGACCTAAGATTACAGTTTCTGAAATATGATTTTTTTCCCCCAGTTAAATCAAATGCATTTCATTTCCAGTGTGATGACTTACCTGCTTAGTACAAGAGAGTTTACTCTAAGCCTGGTTTACCACTACATTAGTCAATATGCTTTCCAGTTTTACAGCAGTACAACAGTGGTAAAAATCAGGAGGATTTGTACCTTGCACATCTGCATGTTAAGAGTGACTGTGGGGCAAATATTCTTAAAAGCAGGGATGGGGAACCCTTTTTGGGTCGGAGGGGCAAATATTCTTAAAAGCAGGGCTGGGGAACCCTTTTTGGGTCGGGGGCCGCTGACCCACAGAAAAGTCAGTCGGGGGCTGCACACAAGTAAGATGTTAAAAAAACAAACCCAAATCCTCATTGATGTGGCCTCCGACTGGGGAGAAAGACACGGCCCACATTTCCCTTGCACACCAGAGCCCAGGGGAGCTCAGGCGAGGAGATTTTGTGGGCTTCAGCCCCGTGGTGGGGTGACGGGGCGGCTGGAGCACCAGTGTGGGCTCCCCAGTGCTGGAGGGGAGCCCTGAGCCTCGGGGGCCGGATCCAGGCCTGAGGTTCCCCGTCCCTGCTTAAAAGCTACATTATATGAAAAGGATTCTCAGCAACTTTACATTTACAGAGACAGTAAGATCAGTATAGTATAAAAACAAACTCTAAAATTACTATTTTCTAAAGATATACACTTAGGCCTCAATTCAGAGTCATTTTAATCCTAGTATATTTTTGTAAGGTAAACTTAAAATACAGAATTACTTATTAATGAGTGTCTCAATTCCTGGTTTTTCAAAACCATGACCAAGCAATTTATTCTTGCTGAGTTAATCACCACTCCTCCCCCCCTCCCATTTCCCTTTATGAATTAATTTGGCCTAATGTAATTTAGTCTCTGTAGATTTTAACTTCAATCTTCTAAATATTACCAAAGCTCTTCCCCCTTCCTTTGGAGATTAGCTTTAACGGTTTAGGGAGATTACTTTTTCTTATTAATTAGACAATATCATTTAGTCAACACTGCGTTTCTATTCTGTACACCTATGGAAAGCCACATTATGGCTTTCAGTACAAGCCACATTGGCTAGAACACACTGTAGCTTTGGTACACGGCTTAAGATTTTCCACTAGAAAGGAAAGAATGCAGCGCCTGATACTCAAGAGTATCGGCATGATTAACTTCTCAGACTGCACAAGAGATGTTTGGAGCAGAATTGTTTACTGATGGGTTCCCTTTTTCTTTTCTACTAATCTCTCTTAACATCAACAGTTTATTTATCTTAAACTAAAATAATTTCAGAGGTCTTTAAAAAAATAGAAGGTTGTAAATTAGTTCAGTTGATTTGAAATTAAATACAGGCATAATAAAAGCTCATGCCATGAGATTCATCACATTTACATGGGCGTTGAAAAACAGCATACAAACATTCTTTAAACTGAAAAAAAAAATCTTACCTTTTTTTACCATGATCTCTGCTTACAGTCATTACATTTCAGCCTATTTTATACAAGTGCATATGGCTACGAAGGTCCGGAGAGAATGAGAATAAAGTGATATTAACCTGCTGAAAACTGCTTAAAAGTCTTAACCTGCAATATATAGAGGTTCCGACACCATTTAATTAAAGACTTTCATACAGAGGGACCTCTGACTTCATTTAATAATTCTGAAAATTGATTCAACACCTCAAACATTAACCCAAACAGTTTAAGGAAAAATCAACAAAACCCAGAACAAAAAAAAGTGAACTTTCAACAGCAATATTTTTCCTGAAATTTGCCAGAGTCTAGAACTTGAGTTATTTTATGAGGATTTTAGGAAAAAAATCCATTTCAGAAGTGAAGTGACCTAGCCTTTCCACCTTTTCACCATATTATTGCGAGGCATGGTTGAGACACATTAGTTCAGTTATGCATGGGAGAAAAGGTGGAATGTTTGCTGCCGTTCATGTCTTCTGGCTCGCAGCAGCTCTGGGTTCAAGAATGGCCTTTGTGGCCATTTCTACATGAACTCTGATATTAAAGAGCTGAGCTCCCTTTAGTTAAAATTCCGATTTTAGTGGAGAAAGCTAAAACGGAGTTAACTGATTACACTGGGAGCCTCACCAATTGTTAATAAAGTCCAAGTTTTATACTTTGGTCTCTTCTTTCTGGCGTGAAGAAATAACCAAGAGTCATGTATGCGCATCTATTGCTGTTCCCCGAGGAAGCACCGTGGCTTGGAATAAAGTATTGCTTTTATTTAAAAAGGATCTCAGTCCAGGGAAATCTTTTCAAAAAGGAAAAGCTCAGAGTTCCGTGTTTGAAGCTGAGATCCCCCCCTCAAAATGAGTCACATTTGTTCTTGCTTTTAAGACATCTATCAATAAGCCATTTCGAGCCACACAACCTGATGGTTCTAGAAGTCAGAGAAGAAATCCTGAGGGCCCAAGTGAACAATAAAAGGTGCGATGCGTAGAGGCTGGCAATAGGGACTGTCAATGAAAAGACCACCTACAGTGGAGAAAAGAGCAGAGAAGCAAAAACTTCGCGTTAATTTCAAGGGGACTGGCTGAAGCTAAAGCTTCATTTAAATTTCTCTGCTCCTTCAGCTGTAAGTGGAATTTTCATTGTCAAAGGGACACAAATGGGCACTTTTAAAACTCATCAAAATCATCTCAACTTCCAAGGTTATCACTTTTTAACGACAAACTGACAGCTCATTCAGATTTTCAGTAAAGCAGAGAAATGTAAAATATGCGGCAACGGGGCAAGTTTACAATGTGGTTAGTAACTCCCAACAAATGACAAAAATAAATAAATAAATAAATGACTTCATATAAATCATCTGAAATGACGGCCATCATGTTGGAAAACAGCACAGCTCCCTCTGTTTAACAAGGTGGGGGAGAATAAGTACATTTCCAATAGGTAAATATTTTCAGAACAAATTACCCTTTCAATTTGAAAGTCTCAGAAATTCATGGATTTTAAAAAACATCAGCAACTTTAACATCAGCAGTTGCCAATCAAAAGAATTCCAAAAAAGGCAGAGATCTTTTAATGAATATTGTATTACCCCAAAATGGGCGCTCATCAGCCATGCTTTTTCTGCTCGTGATGGCTCCCTTTCATCCATAGGCCAGCAAAACAAGTCAATGATTCATCAACAGTACTCAATTTGAAGGCATCCTCAGCCCTGCTATTTATCTCACAATACTCATTCAGGGGATGCTAATGGCAGACTCCCTTGCTTCAGTCAATAAAGGCTACATACTTTATTAAAGTACCACCACCACCAAATGAAAGCAAGAGCTACCGCAGGAAGAGAAACGTTTGCGAGAGATATAAGCACATTCCGAAGTACAAATACTCGGGTTAAGAATAGCTGTGGTAATTAACTTCAAGGAACGCAACTTGCTATACTCGTCACCCCCTTATCATGCTGTTCTAGGAGGACTCCCTAGAGAAACATTGCGGTAGCCCCACTCAAAAAACCCACCCTTCCCCAAAACAGAGTCGGGAGGAGAGCGGAGTGTTTCAAGACATCTTCAAGGCAGCACAACATAGAACAAACCGATGACCGCAAAGGAACAGGTGACCTCTGAATGGAAAAGTGCAACCAAAAATGCTGCTTATTTTGTGGGGGTGATACCTTAATAAGAAGCCTTTTATTCCTTCACATTGAAGTCCAAAGCACAGCAGCTTTACACACAAGCCTGGAAATAACCCGGCGACTGTAGGGAGCATGTCTTCGGCTCTCTAGTTTCAGAGGGGTACACACGCTCCTTACTTACAGATGTTGCTTTACTTTGGGTACGAGCTCGTATCAACGAATGAATACTGGCCTATGGCTGAAATGTGTCACTTTTCACAGCAGCACTCAACAAGAACTGGGACCATTAAATAGCAAGTTTTCATGGGGACCTTGTTGCTGCTTTAGATTCTTATAATTGTAAGGGGGAAAAGGAGAACCCTTTTTTAAATTAGAGACTGACAACAAAGCTGTAAAAAAGCTACATGGAAAATCAAGGGTGGGCAGAATCTTACAGAGTGAAGAAGGCCACAAGAACAAGTACAATTTATTCTTTTTTGAAGGGTGTGGGGGGCATTGTAAAAACCTCTTTGGCACACTAACGAACTTAATCATGACTTTCTGATTGTCCTTCCTCTGGTCAATACAGACATAACTATGTATTCCTCCAATTACAGAACAAAAGTATTTGCATGGAAATTTCCCTTGTTGAACACAGGTTTCACAAAATGTAACTGAATACAAAGAGACCATATAGTGTTAATAATTCCCTTTGTTTTCTTTTTCAGCATTTTGCATACAAATGAAGAGGTTTCTTGGAAAAGGAAGACAGGGTCTATGTTACTGAACCTTACAATATGATAATTTCCTTGGTTTTAAAGATACTAAGGGAATTCTTTCAAGGTACTGATGCTTATATTTATATATATATATATATCAAAATAATAAGCTAAGACAATACTTAAACCAATATTTTACTAGCTTCATTCACCTTAATATTTACAAAGTTAAATTTTAACTGAAAATTGTCTATTGTATTACTGATTTGTTTTTAAATAACTATACTTGGAATTAAGTAGCCCTACAACAAATAACTGAGATTCTGTATGACTGCATTAGGAAACAGGCAGTACTCTGTGTTACGACAAAACAGTTTATTTGTGATCAGTGTTTTATATTCTATACATCCTTCACAAATTTAATTTTACATAATCGGATACTTCATTTAAAACGTAAGGTTTAAGCTTCTAGTTCTTCCCTATAACAGAAGGCTGGTATAAGTTATTTGAAAATGAGGTAACATTTCACAGAACATTTTTTTCAAGTTTTAGAGAACTAAATTTGCATTTTGTTAAAATCAAAAAGTAGGAAAAGATGTTTCTTTACAAATGACTTTGCTCAAGTATGTGTTCAAAGAAAACAGGATAAAAAGGCTTTTTTTTTTCTCTTCTAACATTCTGTACTGTACTGTGTTGTTCAATCAATGGGAATTAGCTTCTGCCATTTGCTAAAAGAATGAGTAGTGGGGAACAGGATATGTTGGGAATTTCATAACTGGTAACAGAACCATTCTCTTGGGTATACCTACAGAGAGAAGAAACGGAGAGGACTCCAAATAAGTTCAATGATCCAATAAAGTCAAGTAAAAGCGTACAGTAATCTTCTCATTAACCCTTTCCAGATGAGTCAGCCAATGTGCTCTGAGGGTATTGAATCCCATAAGCAAAACATGTCAACATTTTGTTCTCCTTTAAACAGGAGTTTTAATATCGCGTATTAGATTTTATGATCATTCTGATGTTTGCTAATTTAGCATGAACAATACGTTCCGGAAATTCTCCGTGCCAGGTTACGCTGAACCAGACTGGATTTGAAAAGTGAATTTACGTTCTTATGAAGCTAGAGGGGATAATCTATCTCGTTCAGTGACCTGAAGGAATTTCACAGGCCAGCTACGACGGCAAAGGTTTTAGACAAGAAATGCTGCTGTGCATACACAGAAGTTCTTAAAGAAATAGCACAGCTCACCCCGTGTTGACAAAGCTCCCTTGGGCTCTGTCAAAACCAGGCACTGATAACTCAATCAAGTTCTGTATCCATTTAGACTTCCTGCATTTATTCATATTGTACTGAAGTGGCAAATCTGGAAAGATTAATAACTGCCTAATCTCAGGATTATTATAGCGTTCTTGTGGCCTCACAAACTTCTGCATCCTTAAATACTGGGTTTTTAAAAATGATTCCTATTTAAATTCTTATATTTAACCTACATATCCATTTAGAAATCACAAAGCAGCAACAGCAGGTATTCCAGAGCACCAGATGATCAAAGTGAAACTTCCCAACATGCAACAGCTTACAAAGGCAAAGAGACATATTACCTTACAGCCAAAAAAGCATTATCTCTCATTACTTTGCATCACAATAAGACATTAAAACAAAAAAACTCTTTATGCGAAAAATGGGGGCAGCAGATTTCACAAGACTTTGAAGTCAGCGATATGCCACACGTAAATATCTAAGTGGTTACAATTCAGCCTCCAACACAGATGTCATGAAAAGATGATGGAGAGGAAGGAAAAAAATAAATCAAGAGACAAAGGGACTGTAGGTAAAACTCCCAGCCCCAAGGGAAGTCAATGAGAGTTTTCCCACTTACGCCAGCGGGGCCAGTATTTCACCCCAGGTTCTTATATGTAACCTATCTGCCAGTAAGAGACACAGATATACAAGTACCAGCCGTCTTAGACTATTTCAGGGTCACTTTCAATACCCACTTCTTACTGTTTCATACAAAGAGGAAGGATTTCATACAAAAGGGACTGGTTAAAAAAATAAGCCACTGATGAAACAGGTCCCCCCCACTAAATATGTTAATTTCCTGCTAGGTGAACAGGTAGAGGTTCCCTTTCTCATCAGTAACAGCTTGCAAGACAATCAAGAGTACAGACTGTGCTTTATGGGAAACACGAACATCAGCTGCTGCCGTGTGAACACAGATGGCCAACTCAGAGGGCAGGATTTCATCTAAGGTAAGAGTGAGCTGCTTCAAATAGTACAGGGAATTCCGCATCGGCGTGAAGGCCACTCCCTGGCCCTGTGCTACAGAAGGAAGCACAGAATGGTAGTAGCTGTGTGACATGCTCCTAGACCCACCCAATACTAGAGCTGCAGCATTCCCACCAGTGGGGTGCAGCACAAGGGGCTGTGGTTACGGCCTGTAGCGTGTAGGGCGGAAAAGGTTCTCCCCCAGGGGGTAGAAACCAAGCGATCCCGTTCCATGACAGTTCCCCGCTCAGATAGATTCCGACACTTGGAGTGTTACTAGGCAAGCGTGCTGGTAAGCCGCCAATCCGACTCAGACTCGCCACGGAAGCAGGCATTAGGAAGGGAACGTGCGAGAGGGAGCGTGCACGCAGCACAGGAAAGGGATCAGCGTGGGCTAGGTCTCCCCGCTGGGAAATGAAGAGCAAAGAGGCTGCTGGAGCTTACGTGTGTGATTTTTTCCCTTTGAGAGCTACAGACTCTCACCCTGTTCTGGAAGACGGGCTCGGTACACAACGAAAACCAGAACCGGGTCCCAGAGACGGTGCCGGTGTCAGACCATATCACTGACTCCAAACTCTCTTGCCCCCATTGCCACATAAACCTCATTCAAAGTAACCAAAAGGCCAGTCAGAGATAAATAGGCTTTATTGGTCTCATTAAAAAAGCTGGGGGATGGGCAGGAGAGAGTAACTCTACTGCTAGACGAGAGGCCCTACGTTCATTTTAGTCCATACGAAACACGGTGCACAGCCGTCCTAGATCTCGCTGGGTTTCTTGCCCGAAAGGGGCAGTGGCAAGGTACAGTGCCT